GAAAAAGTCTTAGATCTTTGAGTTCAGCTCATGAAAAATGTGGGCAAAAACAAAAGTGTTGCGTTTATAATTTTGTTCAGTGTATACATATTGTTTTCTCCTGATGTCAACTAGGCCAATGCACAATATTTGAGAGAAATAGGCCTTTTGTGTACATAGAAAAAGTCTTAGATCTTTGAGTTCAGCTCATGAAAAATGTGGGCAAAAACAAAAGTGTTGCGTTTATAATTTTGTTCAGCGTATACATATTATTTTCTCCTGATGTCAACTAGGCCAATGTCTATACAATGTCAAATGTTTATTTTATGTTTATTGTTAATAGTTTACCAATGTCAAAATGCAGTTTATTCATTATTATTTTAGCCTTCTATTATACGAAATGCAAAATTTTTCAAATAAATAGTTGAAGCAGTAATATAAAGTTAATTAATGTGATACACATTACAGTGATAATTAAAATGAATGAAATCTATTGGGGTAAATGAACATGATCTTGACGGTGAACTTAACTTTCAGTCTCCACATTCGGTCACTTGTGAATGGATTTTGTGTGGACTTCGAAGTAATCCAGGAATTATTGGGAAAAACAAATCAGTTGGGTGTGTGGTGTTAACCTATTTTTCTTTGCTTTCTGCAGTGTGTAGACGGAGATAAGACGTGTCATTTGTGGACGGCAGTAGATTTGGCGTTTTTTGTGTTGATGGGGGTGGCAGGAGGTTTGCTCGGCGCGCTCTTCAACTGCATCAACAAACGCCTCGCAAAGTACCGCATGAGAAACGTTCACCCCAAAGCAAGATTCATCAGGTACCCGAGAGAGATCTCAATTATATGGATTCATATTGAACAGCACTACTCAAAACATACGCTGTATTTGTTTGACTGGCAGGCTGCTGGAGAGTCTGCTGGTGTGTATGGTGACCACACTCGTGATCTTCGTGGCGTCAGTGACTCTGGGGGAGTGTCGAGATTTAGTCTCCACCAATAACAACACATCAACACAGGTCAGTCACAGACCAGCTTCCTTCCTCTCCTTTAACTTCAGCCTTTCATTCTTTCCTTTACCTCTATATTTCTCTGTTTCTCTCTTTTGCTGGGCTTTTTTTTAATATATGATTTCTATGTGCTGATAGTCAGGAGTTCTACAGCAGTACAGTCTTGTCGTTATATAGGAAGAGACCATTTGACGGACATGCAATGACCGATCATAGTTAGTTTCTTTTGTGTCATTTAAAGGTGGGTTACATGTCATTGGGTAGCAATGATACTGATTTAAGTTTCACAAATGTTAAGTGCAATGCATTAAGTACAGAGGAAGACATCATTGTAAGTAAATATAACTTGCTGAGATAACAGTAGCACGCTATTCAACTGCTGATATATAGGCATATAAGATATGCATCCTGGTCCACACTGCAGCTTGTTCTCATAAAATTAGAACTTGCCATCCCGAGAAAGTTGTAGTTTTTGTGTGCATTAAGTCAAGTCACCTTTATTTATATAGCGCTTTTAACAATACAGATTGTGTCAAAGCAACTGTACAGCATTAATTAGGAAAATAGTGTGTCAATAATGCAAAGTGACAATAGTAAACACAAATTTTTCAGTTAAAGACAGTTCATCATTGAATTCAGTGATGTCATCATCCAGCTCAGTTCAGTTTAAATAGTATCTGTGCAATCAAGTCGACGATATCACTGGAAATGAAGTGTCCCCAACTAAGCAAGCCAGAGGCGACAGCGGCAAGGAACCAAAACTCCATCGGTGACAGAATGGAGAAAAAACCTTGGCTCAGTCGGGGGGCCAGTTCTCCTCTGGCCAGACGAAACCAGCAGTTCAATTCCAGGCTGCAGCAATGTCACATTGTGCAGAGGACTCATCTGGTTCCTGTGGTCTTGTCCCGGTGGCCGTCT